TTAAAACGTAGGAAGGATTTTTTCTTAAGAGCTCATCCTTCTCACCTTCCTCTCTCTCTCTCTCTCTCTCTCTCGCTCTCTCTCTCTCTCTCTCTCTATGCTCCCGTTCAGAATCTATGTATAAACACAAAGAAAGAAAATAAGAAAGAAAGAAAGAAAGATAGATATAATTTATCGCAATTTTCATTTTTATTAGAAACGCTTTGTCACCTGGTCATCCATTTAATCGTTTTCTTTATCCCAATTTCAAATAGGGAAGTACATAGGCATAACAGAGAAAATTTCTTTGCTATCGGTTAGCCTTCTCTATTCAACATCGGTTTAATGAGATCAACTTGGATTAGCCACGCATGGAGATGCACACGCGTGTTGTGTCCCAGTTCGGGACGCGGAATCGCGTTACTTTGTCGGTTATGCGCACCTCGAATACTCGGATAGCGTGTCAAATGAACGTAATACCTGCGCGTATAATGGATAATGGCATGGATCTGTGACGATACCGGTTATCGTGCGTGCACGCGTTCTCGAATCCTCGGCAATAATCGACGTACACGAACACGAGCGACACGAGCCTAACTCCCGCTCCGATTACGACACGCCTCGTATATCTCTTGGGTTTCGATACGTTGATTAAAGTATTATGGACCATTTCAACGGCACTAGTAGCCACTGAAAGGCCTACCTGTAATCGTACGACTTACTCAATGTTCGATCTTATTTAACGTCCCTTTCGATAATTTTAAGCTAAAGCTAAATAAATTTTAAGAAAATTCTTTTTCTTTTTTTTCTTTTTTTTTTTTCTTTCGACGAATTTTCTTCCTCTTATAAATTCTAACGATATCTCTGTTAATATTTTATTCCTAAATAATTAATTTTTATCTTAGTATTTTCATTGAGATTATAGCTTTTTTGTTTTTTTTGTTTTTTTTTTTCCAAAATTTGATCATTAAAATCTCGTGACAAATCTTCGATAGTTTTTATCCTACAATTTAATTGAGATTATTATTATTATTTTTTTTTTCTTTTATCCAAAATTTTATCATTAAAATCTCGTGGCAAGTCTTCGATAGTTTTTATCCTACATTTTAATTAAGATTATTTTCTTTTTTTTTCTTTTTTTTTTTTTTTATAGGATCCATTAAATATATGATTTACAAAGACGTTATAAAAAATAACGTCTAAGACATATAATTCTCTACGATAATTTCGCGTATAGAGATTTTCATAATGAAGTAGTCCGTACGTTTTATTAATAAAAAAACGGAGGAAACAAACGTGATTGAAAGAGAAAAGAAAGAAGAGAAAGAAAGAAAAAAAGAAAGAAAGAAAGAAAGAAAGAAAGAAAGAAAGAAAGAAAAATAAATAAATAAATAAGAAAATAAAAAAGTATAATAAAAAAGAAAATAAAATAATCGTAAATCTATGAGAAGATATAAAACAAGGTATTTCACGATTCCCGACAGGAACGTCGCCGTCGGCGAGATTCGTGCCGAGCAATTCCAAAAGCCAAAACGTAGTTACGTAACCCCAAGAGGTGAATTAGAATTCGTAAGAGAGCATGGTAGGTAGGTAGGTAGGTAGGTAGGTAGGTAGGTAGGTAGGTAAGATAGGTAGGTAGTAGGTAGGAAAGTAGATAGGTGGATAGGTAGGTAGATATCACGTGTATGTACCGTGTATCGTAGGAAAACGTGGTAAGAGAATAAACTCGATTGTTATTCTCAGGGAAGACAAGGTAGACGCTAAAACGAAAAGAAATATATATGGTTTGAGAGACTTCGTGTCTTTCGTTTTGTGTGTTCGACAAATAACCAAAGCCGCGAAGTGCCAATGTTAATTCTTTGAGAAATTAGAGGAGCAGATATACGAATGCAAAGTTATGTCGGGCGTGATCTCACATTCGAGACAACACAGGCACACATTGCTAAGGTTGAATGCCCTTCGACCACGACGAAGACGAAGAAGACGATGAGGAAAACGAAGACGAAGAAGAAGACGAAGAAGAAGACGAAGAAGAAGACTGAAGCACGGATTAGTGCGCGTCTACTAACGTAATCGTATGCCTGGTGAATATTTCATGAAGCGCGGAAAAAGGAGATGACACCTGTTCGAAAACCGTTAGCGTACTCCTTCTGCCCCGCCGTAGTCCTCTGATATCCGTCGGGAGAGGACAAACGGACGTTCCCCGACTTATTTCAATGTAAATTTTCAAAAAAGAAATTCCATTGGGTCTCCTTCTCTCCTTTGATGATTATTTCTTTCAACGCGAAAAGATATAGTTATAGGTATCTTCTTTATTCCTCCCGTCTTCCCCCCCCCATCCCTACCCCATAACCCTCATAACCCCCATATCCCCCTCCGACATCCACAGTCTTTATCTTAAGTTTCGAATCAATTTCATTCGTACTATATATATATGTATATATATATATATGTGTGTGTGTATGTGTGTGTGTATGTGTGTTTATATACTATAAACGACGATAAATTCTACACATATGGAAGAAGAATTTTAATAATTTACAAGAGGATTATAAGTGCAATAAATCTTTTGATTCTGTTGATATTTCGTTAAATACTTATTAATTTATTTAGCAAATCCTCGTTTCTATCATTCTATCATTCCTTCTCTCTCTCTCTCTCTCTCTCTCTCTCTATCTATCTCTATTTTCTCTAATGATTTCTAATTTCTTATATAAATTTGCATATTTCTTAATATAGAAATTTTATTATCGATTTATTACTTTTTGGATCTAACGAATTAAACGAAATATCCAAGGGGGAGGTGAGGGAGGGCAATATAAAAAGTTTTAAAAATTAATATAGACATAGTTATGGAATTAAAACGAATCCCTAACATTTAATCGATATTTAAATAACGATCATAATTAAATATAATTTTCATATTGAATTCAGACATAAAACATAATGTCCGTTTTATTTATTAACAAACAACGAACAAAATTCGTTAATCTAAAGAATTTTGTTCATATTAAATTTACGTAATGTTAATTTTATTACACGGAATTATTACGATACGTATCCGTTTCTTCTTTTTTATTTTTTTTTCTTTCTTTTTTTTTTTCAAGGGCAAACTAACGAACTAACGTGTGCAGCACGTTAACGTTCGTATATTAGAAACATACGTTCGACTGTCGCAGCACGACACGGGAGCAAAGAGCAAGAGCGTTTCTCGAACCGCTAACCGGAATGAGCGCGCTAACTTCTCGTCTCTGTGGGATCCGCGAAGCGGTTGGGTGCTCGACTTGGTTCTGAAGCGTCGAGGGAGAAACAGAGAAGAGAGGGACAGAGAGAGAGAGAGAGAGATAGAGAGAGAGAGAGAGAGACAGACAGACAGAGAGAGAGAGAGAGAG